GATGCTTCAAACTTTGTGTTTTCACTGATTTGGGTGCTTGGGTAAGTTGCGATTCATCTTGTGATAGTTCGGTGAACTTTCCCCTTGTGTTGATGTTTCAAACTTTGTGTTTTCACTGATTTGGGTGCTTGGGTAAGTTGCGATTCATCTTGTGATAAGTTCGGTGAACTTGTGCAGTCCACTTTTAACCCTGGTTGTACCCGGTGACATTCAGAGTATGTGCGTGTGTGTGTGTGGGGGGGGTGGGGCTGCAGTTCGGTCCCTTCCCCATTTTTGCTATGAATGGTGACTTCCGAAAGTGCTATGGGGCAGCCAGGCACCCGAAGTAGAAAACGGAGGTACGGGGCTAGGAGTTAGGATACGTCCAACGGGCCTTCTTTCACGTCCATCCCCCCATTGCCGGACCACCCCAACCCTTCTCCCTCCTCCATCACTCACGCCCGTCCACCATAGCCGACCACCCCCAACCCTCCTTCTTCCTCCATCACCCACACCCGTCCACCATAACCAACCACCTCCAACCCTTCTTCTTCCTCCATCACATACACCCGTCCACCATAGCCGACCACCTTCAACCCTTCTTCTTCCTCCATCACCCACACCCGTCCACCATAGCCGGACCACCCCAACCCTTCTCCTTCCTCCATCACCCACACCCGTCCACCATAGCCGACCACCCGCAACCCTTCTTCTTCCTCCATCACCTACACCCTTCCACCATAGCCAACCACCTCCAACCCTTCTTCTTCCTCCATCACCCACGCCCGACCACCATAGCCGACCACCTTCAACCCTTCTTCTTCCTCCATCACCCACACCCGTCCACCATAGCCGAACCACCCCAACCCTTCTTCCTCCTCCGTCACCCACGCCCGTCCACCATAGCCGACCACCTCCAACTCTTCTTCCTCCTCCATCACCCACACCCGTCCACCGTAGCCAACCACCTCCAACTCTTCTTCCTCCTCCATCACCCACACCCGTCCACCATGGCCGACCACCTCCAACCCTTCTTCCTCCTCCGTCACCCACACCCGTCCACCATAGCCGACGACCTCCAACCCTTCTTCCTCCTTCATCACCCACACCCGTCCACCATAGCCGACCACCTCCAACCCTTCTTCCTCCTCCATCACCCACACCCGCCCGCCATAGCCGACCACCTCCAACCCTTCTCCCTCTCCCATCACCCACTCTCGTCCACCATGGCCGACCACCCCCAACCATTCTTCCACCTCCATCACCTACACCTATCCACTATAGCCGACCCCCTCAACTCTTCTTCCTCCTCCATCACCCACACCCGTCCACCATGGCCGACCACCTCCAACCCTTCTTCCTCCTCCATCACCCACACCC